ATATATATACACGATCCCGTTTTTGCATGTTGTGCACAAGCATATCAAAGGTCGGAAGAAAAAATTCCATTTCTCTATGTGAAACGACATTGAAAACCATCGGTACTTCCATAAAGCAACAAACCCCATATTTTAGCTTCAACGGCAGCATTATATTGATATTTTCTATGTTGTGGCCTGCCTTGCTCTACGTCAAGGCACTCTTTTCTTTAATTCCACAACATGATGGCCCAAAGATTGACATTGCCACCTCGAACCGCAAGTTCTGAGCATTGATTATCAAATTGTATGGAACCTAATCTGCTTTGTAGACATTACTCAGTATCGTGCTCAATATGCTATCTGTCATAATCCTTGCACGGACAGTAAGTAAATTATTTGCTTTATTTGCTATTGTTTCATAATACTGACACAATATTCTTGCAATTAATTGGTCAACTAACTAGTCCGCTGTAATAATTTAGGTAATATCTTTGGAAAATTTTGATTAGATGGTTCTCTTGGGTTTCATCTCTAGCCTACCCCAACTTGCTTGGGACTAAAAGGCTATGTTGTTGTATGTTGTTGTTGTTGTATATTGTTTAATTCGGTCTGACTGATAAGTTTCTGGCCAGTGTGGTGCGGATAATGCCAGGATTTGACTACTCGGGCAACGGCTCACAGTCTTAAATATATTTACCACTGTCCACGACAAAATCACACGTACCGTAGGATGAAGAAAAAACTCCAAAATGTCGACGGCATAGCTAATATAACATACAATTGAATGTAAATAACAATACCCATCAACTACAGCACAGTAAATATAGATTAAGAAAACTTGGATTAAAGCATAAACAAACTAAAAAATAAATAAAAATCAAGCACCTATGAGGAACGTGGTCCGAAGATGGTTGGACACGCTCTAATGAAACTACTTGTCCACCAAAGTCAGCCTTAAATTTGTTCACCGCCCGAATCATCTCAGCAACAGGTCTCTATCATATGGGAATATTAATGTCAACTACATGAGAAACTAATCCAATACAATAGCTAAGACATGTGACAAAAGTTTATTACTTCAGAACAAATAGATGGGTCCTCCAATAACATGATTAACTCAATGACCAAATTAACATTTTGAACAGCTATAAATTGAAATGTTCCTTATGCCAACTTCAGCTGTCTCATTTCAGCAAACAGACACGAAATATTGCAAAACTTGCACTTTTCATGCTCCAATTATTCATATTAGTACTTGGCACGAAATCGAAATTCCTATTTTATTCCCACCCATACATCTTCGCCTAGCTCCGTCCAGTTATATTTACAAAAAATTCGCTGATAACTTCAAAACAAATAGTAAAACCACATTACACTTTCTGAAAAACAATCTCCACAAATTCATACGTCAGCCAAAAAAATCATTGATAAAGGAAATTAATCCTCATAACAAATAGCAATTTGATCAAAATTGTGTAAACTGTAGAACTGCAAGGTGAAAATATTAGACATTCAGACAAATTAAAAGGAACAACTTTGAGAAATAACATCTGAACGACTGAACCATTGCTTCGCTAGCACAAACCAGAAACAGCCGCATTCCCCCTTCTGAGGCCCAATTTTGAACAGAAAACAGAACAACCCACAACTTTAAGTAAAGAGAAAGCTTCACTTGAGGAATTTTCCAGCAACTCACCTTGTATACGCATTCAGAGAGGACCATGCAGCACAGGATGTCCTGCAAATCAGAAAGCGTCTCCGCCTTGACGGCGTAACAGAGCTCCTGCAATTGCTTCTTGTGGCACTCCAGCTCCTCCTGAATCCTCTTCTGCTGTTCGCGGCGGCCGTTGGGCGGCCACGGCCACTTCACCCCCAGCCTCCACGGCGGAGGCCACGTCACCTTGAGGATTTTGGTACGCTGGTCTCGGATCCATGTCTCCACTCTCCTCTGCAATGTCTCCATTGCCCATGCAATCAATTGGCAAAACCCTAATTGAATGTTGTGGGCAGCGGAGGATGAAGATCTGGTGGGACGCTGGGTTTTGGGGTCTTAACCGATGTGAAAGGGGAGAAGGCGTATAAGCTCGAATCGATCTCTGTCGTATCATTTCATGATCTTTGCTAATTTTTGGGTAATTATTCTCCAAGTTTCTTTCTTTTTGGAATTAAAAATTATCACACATATAAATAGAAATTTTTATTTAGTATAAATCTATTGAATGTAAAATAGTACTACACACGTGTGTTACTAGAATGTAACCAACATAAAACGTATGGACTATCTCGCGAGCAGCTCAGGAGCCAAAGATTAGGTTTGTCGATCCCTCAAATCTCAATCGATCGAGACTTCATCCTGTTAATCAACCTCTGAATCTTTGAATCTTTTCGAGGTAGATTGACGATCTTTGTCTCATACTCTTTTTTTTTTTTTGTCAAACGATAGATAACATAAAAACCTCCAAAAGATTACAACCGATTGCCCACTGGCAATATTAAGCACCTTTGCATTTAACACCTTAAACGCAAAGGAAAAGATGGCTCTTACATGAGAATCCATCCCGAGCCAGATAAAACTAAACTAAACACACTAAACACAACACTTTCCCAAAAGGAAACCAAGCCACTCCCTAGGTGGGAGACAAAGGCACTCCCCAAGGGAGACCAAAACACAAAAAAAAAAACAAAAAAGACAACCAAGAAGAACACCTAACAACATAAACCAAACACAAAAAAAAAGAACACAGAAATAAACAAAAAAAGCCCTTCCCACAGCAGATGAACCAAGCCGAACAAACACTACGCCGACACCCACGGGCACCCACCCACACAGACAGAGACCCGGTCCATACCACGAATCCAGAAACTGCAGAATAAACGCCTAACTAGACTCGAGACATACAACCTTGCCCGCCCGGGTAGACAACCCGAGACCCGCAACCGGAGATCAACAACAAGCTCCACCATTCTAGCCCCGACGACCCAGGCCCAGGCCACAAGACCCGACCCCGAATCCGCAAATGCAGTCTAGAGACCCCAAAAGCAGAGAAATCGGGAGAAAGAAGGAGAGCGGAACGGCCCGATCTCAGCCTGACCACC